AAGGCGTGGCCCAGCACCAGGAAAGCCAGGATCCCGCCAACAAAACCCCGCCCTTCCTCCTGCTGAGAAACCTGTCCCTTTTATTTAAAGAATACGTTGACGTCATTCCGCTTTACGTAGCTTCGCGTAATCAGTGTACGGCGCTGAGGCGGGACTTCCTGTCTCTGGTTCAACAGCTTCCGGGAGAAGCCGGAAGAGACCGGACCCTCGATAGAATCGGGGACTGCCATCCCCTTTCCCGGACCCTACAGAAAGACGAATCTAGGAGCCGCCCTGGCGACGTCAAAACATTTATCCTGGCCTTGTCAGGTGAGGAATTCCTTCCCTATCCAGGCACAGTACCAGTTTAATCTCCCTTGAATTTCCCATGAGTCCCCGCGTCCTCAGGCCCCGCCCCCAGACCACCAGCCCCGCCCCAAAGTTTGAGGGGTGTAAATGGTTTGTGACCACCCTCACTCGACTCTACCCATCCTGGGCGTGGGGAGCTGGGCTTTGGGGGCACGGCAGCTGGGGCTCAGCGGCCCTTCAGCTCGCTGTGTGTGTGGGGTCTCCGTTTCTATTGCCGGGGGTATAAGGACCGCCTAGACCTGGAGCCTCCGCGTCATCAAAAGCGGGGCTAGGGACCCCCTCCTTACCGCAGTCAGGGTCCCTCACTGCCTGAGTGGGGAGAAAGCCAGGGCCTCGGGAGACCGGAGACCTTAGGCCCTGTCCTCCTCTCCCCATGCACAATTCCCAGTGTCTGAGCCAGTGGTTTCGTCTCTTTCCCACAGTTTCCTTTTCTTGTAAATCACGGTTCATGACATTAACCTTACCATCGAGGTTAATTGTGGAGCGATACATAATTGCTCCCATTGTTTATCCAACAATTGCTATGTGCCCAGGCACTGTGCTAATATTTTTGCTCCGATGATTTCACGTCATCTTCAAAACAACCTTTTGAGGTAGGTACTATTTTTAATCCCACTTTACTTTAGAGAGCTGAGGCTCTAAGAAAGTCATTGGAGTTTAAGTCACTACTAAGAAGTAAGCCGGGATTATAACATTTTCCTCACTTCAAGGCCAGTCTGTTAAGTAAGGAGGTGGAAACTTCAGTTGCTGATGATACATTCCACAAATCCTCTTTGAGCAACTATTATGGCATTTACTGGGCACCTCAGTACAAAGAGAAATACATGAGTCTTGTGTTCCAGGCTTCTAGTAGAGAGATGGGGACAGGTAGATAAGTATAATGACCATTTTATAGTGCCATGAGAATAGTTTGATGACTATAATCATAGATGGATTTGCCCAGGGACATCTGGGAAAGAAGTAGACTCTCCAAGGGAAAAAGTAAGGTACTACAAGCAGTAAGCAGTGATCCTTTCTGTCTAATACAGCAAGAGGGGCTGGGAATGTGGCTTAGTGGTAGAGTACTTGCCTAGCGTGCGTGACGCCCTGGATTCGATTCCTCAGTACCACATAAACAGAAAAGGCCAGAAGTGACTCTGTGGCTCAAGTGGTAGAACACTAGCCTTGAGCACAGAGTGGCTTAGGGACAGAGCCCAGGCCCTGAGTTAAAGCCCCAAGACTGGGGGGATGGGAGGAGAAAATACAGCGGGAAAACCATACAGTACCAGGAAAGAAATTGGGTTGAGGATTGGGAGAGCTGATGTAGAATTGTTTCCAAATAGGCTTTACTTGGACAGTGGTTTCTGGCAGTTGTAAGACCTGGGGAAACCAAGAGGGTAAAATGTTTCTAATGTTTGTCCCATGTGGCTCCCCAGGACTTGCCAGAAGGGTTTCAAAGCAGGCACATATAGTGTCTGCTGGTGGCCTGTGTAGAGAGTTGTATGTTTGGGTAATCTGACTCCGCTGTGAATGATAGTTTTGTTTGATTCTTGACACCTAAATTTAGATGTCACCATGAAAGAAAACGAAATGACTCAATCTGGCAGAGGTGGCTACATAGTGACTCCAAAGGAGGCTTAAGCCAGGTGTGGTTGCTCACCCCTGTAATCCCAGCTAGGAAGGAAGGCCCAGGGGACTCATCTCCAGTTAATCACAATAATATGGAAATGGAGCTGTGCCTCAAGTTGTAGAGCATTAGTTTTGAGCACTAAAGCTCAGAGAGAGCACCCAGACCTCCTTCACATTTTTTTTTTTTAAATCGGTCATGGATCTTGAACTCTGGGCCTGGGCACTGTCCCTCAGCTCTTCAGCTCAAGAAAAGCGCTCTACCACTTGAGCCATAACACCACTTCCGGTTTCTGGTGGTTAATTGCAGATGAGTCTCACAGACTTTCTTGCCCTGGCTGGCTTTGAACTGTGATCCTCAGATTTCAGCCTCCTGAGTAGCTAGGATTACAGGCATGAGCCACTGGCACCCAGCTTTGAGTTATTTTTTGAAGCTTTTTTTTTTTTTCTTTCCAGGGCTGAGGACTGAACCCAGGGCCTTGCATGTGCCAGGTGGGCACCCTTCTGCTGAGCTAAACCCCCAGCCCCATGACAGTTATTTTTGAAATTAAGAATGCATGTGTCAGTGGGTACCAGTGACTCACACCTGTAATCCTAGCTACTCAGGAGACTGCGATTTGAGGATTGCAGTTGAATGAGGATTGCAGTTGAATGAGGATTGCAGTTGAAGCGAACCCATACAGGAAACTATGAGACTCTCCAATTAACCACCAAAAAGCCAGAAGTGGAGCTGTAGCTTAAGTGACACACACACACACTAAATAGTTTAACTATTCAGCCTTTTTGGTCTTTCTGAAACTGCTGTGGAGACGATTCAAGGGTCATATATGCTTGACCAGGATCAGAAATCCCAAAGAAAGTCTGGAGACAAAGTAGCGTATGTTTTCCTTATCAGCCAAAACACAGCAGTTCCAAGACTATGAGACTTTCCTAATCATCTGTGCTCCTCTATGCACATTTTAGACATGGAACTGGAAAGGTTTGGTGTCCCTTCCCCCAATCAGAGTTTGAACTCAGGGACTCGTACTTGCTCTGTTGCCATTCTACCACTTGACCCAGGCTTCCAGCCCAGCTTTTTTTCTGGTAATTTTAGATAGGGTCTCAGCATTTTTCTGCCTAGACTGGGCCCCCTCTGTATCTATCTCCACCTCCTGAGTATTTACAATTACAGGTGTGAGTCCCTGCTGTCTGCCAAACTTCAGTTTTGAGACAGATGGTAAGGGCAAGTCCTTAACGTTGGGGTCTTTAGTTAGGGACATTGATGTCCCTTCAGTAGGACATGGAACTCCATTTTTTTTTTTCTAAGCAGGCTCAATTAGAATCTTAAGTAATCTAGAAACCGGTTGTAACCCCTCAGGTCTGCTGATGCTTGTCCCCTTTGTTCCTGCAGTGTGGACCCAGTCAGCAGCCAGGCCATGGAGCTCTCTGATGTCACCCTCATTGAAGGTGTGGGTAATGAGGTGATGGTGGTTGTAGGCGTGGTGGTGCTGATTCTATCCTTGGTCCTTGCGTGGCTCTCTACCTACGTAGCAGACAGCAATAGCAGCCAGTTCCTGGGCACTATTGTGTCAGCAGGTGACACGTCTGTCCTCCACTTGGGGCATGTGGACCAGCTGGTGGCAGGCCAAGGCACCCCAGAGCCAAGTGAACTCCCCCATGCATCAGAGGGTAATGATGAGAAGGCTGAAGAGTCTGGAGAAGGTGGGGGAGACTCCACCGTGGAACCAGGAGCTGGAGATGGTATGGAGCCCAGCCTTGAGCATTTCCTTGACATCCAAGGCCTGCCCAAACGACAAGGAATCCTGGAGTGCAGCAGTCCGGATGCCCCACTAAGAGCAGAGGATAGCACCTGCCTTCCCCCCAGCTCCAGCCTCATTAACGTGAGACTCAAATTCCTCAATGATACTGAGGAGCTTGCTGTGGCCAGGCCAGAGGACACTGTGGGCACCCTGAAGAGGTAAGTGGGTTGGAGAGCAGAACACTTGTGCCCTAAGCCTGTAGGACTTAGTTCTGCAGGCCGGTGCAGGCTTGGGGATTGTAAAGGCAGCCCTGACCAAGGGGAGGTGGGAGACTTCTTTAATAATTCCATCCATCACTTTGTGCCCTCTGTCTTGTCTTCTTGGTCCAGGCCTGCTGTCCCTCATTTTTTTCCCCCCATTTTTGATCTTGCAGCAAATACTTTCCTGGACAAGAGAGCCAGATGAAACTGATCTACCAGGGCCGCCTGCTCCAGGACCCAGCACGCACATTGCGGTCCCTGAACATTACTGACAACTGTGTTATTCACTGTCACCGCTCACCCTCAGGAGCAGCTGTTCCAGGCCCCTCAGCCTCCTTGGCCCCCTCGGCCACTGAGCCATCCAGCCTTGGTGTCAACGTGGGCAGCCTTATGATGCGTGTGTTTGTGGTGCTCCTGGGTGTGGTCTGGTACTTCCGTATCAATTATCGCCAGTTCTTCACAGCACCTGCCACCGTCTCCCTGGTGGGAGTCACTGTCTTCTTCAGCTTCCTAGTATTTAGGATGTATGGACGATAAGGACATAAGGAGAAAATGAAAGGCATGGTCTTCCTCCTTTATGGCCTCTCCCTTTTCCTGGCCAGAGCTGGGCCCAAAGGCCTGGGAGGGAGATGAGAAGGATGTGGTAGATACCCCATCCATAGGACACAGGAGGCAGGTGGGCCTCCTTTAATGTTCACAGGGGTACAGACATCCCCTCTGTGCAAGCACAACTCAGGTAGACACAAGGATGTCATCTTTTAGAGTCCATTTCAGAGCCAATGGCTAAACTCTGGGAAGTCTGGTCTCTGAGGAATCCCTTTCCCAGCATCCTGCATGTCTGCCCCTTAGCACCCAGGGCCACCTGCCGGGGCAGCCAGCATGACCCCAGCATATTTCTGTAATATCTCCACTCCCCTTAGCCAAATGCCTCTTTTGAGGCTGAAATCACATAGGCAGGGATGAAGACTGCCAGTTTTTCTTACACCCAGCCATTGCCATTTCCCTTTACCCTGTAGCAGGAATAGGGTGTTCTCTCAAAGCACTTTGCTTTTTTTTTTTTTTTTTTAAATAGTCCTTTATAGTGCTCAGTCAAGAAAGGGGTTGGGGCACAAGGCCAACCTCCTAGCATGGGGAGAGGCCAGGCCACAGCTGCTACCCTAGGCCTAAGGCTGCAAGAGTGCTGGCCCTCAGCCAGCATCCTGCCCTGCCCAGCTCCAAGGACGAGCTCTGGGTATGGATCACTCAGCTCTAGGCCCTTGCCTCTAGGGCTCATGGATGGTGGGTCAGCATCTGTGACTGAATAAAGTTTCATTTTGTGGCTGTGAAGCCTCCTGTGACATTACAAGAATGGCTTTGCTCTGCCCCCAGCAACATGGCAAGGAGGGTGGGTAGGCCAGGCTACCAACGGGAGATGCAGTTTATTTACACCAGCAGCCATGGGGGCAGAGGGAATACACAGCGTTTACAAAGTTAGCTACCTGTACAGGATGGATTACATATGCAAAAATAAAAATCTCAAGACCACAGGACAGCGTGAGCCCCACCCCCCTCCCCCAATGACCCCAGCATGCGGTAATGCCAGGCGGGTGGCCCCTGGGCATGCGGGGGGGAGTGATGCATGGAAGGAAAAGCCACCGGCCATGGAAATTAGTACAGACCCCCCCACACACACTCAGACACATGATAGGATACAGGGTGGACGACACCTAGCTGGGGTGGGGAGGATGGGAATTGAAACCCACACAGCCTGCTGTTAGAGGGAGTGGGGAGCTCCTAGCCCCTGTTCAACTACACGGTAGGGAGGGGGCACTCTCCCCAGAAGGAAAGGGTCCCTCAGGGTCCCTGCTGGACCAAGCCCATCTCTTACCCAGCCTGGGCAGGGGGCTCTGCCCTGAGGGTGGGTCAAGGGACAATGGGGGAAGTTTATGACAAACCAGTTCCCAAACTACTCCTCTTTTCTCCCTCCACCATACAGAAGGTCAAAAGGGAGAGGCCAGAGAAAGGGTGAGTTAGGGCCTGAGCTGCAGCTGCCTCTCAGAAGGGAGAGTGGCCCCTGGCCTCCCTCCCCTCCCCTTCAGTAGACTCCAAGCATGTGCAGAAGCCCACTGGAGGCTCGCTGATATCCTCCTCTCCCTCTGGCTTCCCCTTTGAGGGAGAAGGCTGTGGAGGGCCAAGAACTGAGGAGCCCAAGCCCCAGGATTTATTCTAACTCTTGCCAAAACTGGTTTGGCTTTCTGAAAAATAATCACAATGCTTGGGTTAAAAACCAATTTGTAACCAGGCATCAACCACAATCCGAATGACCCCAAGGGGAGACTGGGGTTCCAGACAGGGTACTGCGAGCCCTATCTCTGTTGTTCCCTTAACCCTCTAGGGTCCCTAACCCAAATCAGTCCAACCAGTCCTGGGTACTAGCTACCCAAATGTGGGAGTGGCTCCTCCTGAGTGGAGGACAGGGGACATGGCAGCAAGTGCCAGAGAACTCAGCTCAAGGTCAACTTCAACCCCTGTCAGCTCTGTTTCCAGCCCTGACTACAACTGCATTCAGCCCTCCAGCTTGGCTGGGGGTGGGGTGCAGTGGGTGGGTGTGACCTTGCCTGTGTGGAGGTGGCCAGTACATCTCTTCAGGATGTACGCCAGGCAGGTGGGTACCCTGGCATGACAGCCCCTCAGGGCACTGGAACCCCTTCCCCCTCCACTGACAACCCAGGGCACAGAACCCACCCTCTCTTCCCATCCTGGCAAAGGGGGAGAGGCACAAGATTAGGATTTTCCTCAGAGCCCCAAACCACAAGTACAGGAATAAATAACTTAAGAGCGGCGAAGGAGAAGGAAACAGGGCGGGATTTGGAGGTGGGAGCATTGAGAGGAACTGAAGCTGGTCAAGGTGAAGGGGCGGCAAGCAGCAGCTGGGAACTCGGGCTGCCCCAGCAGGGCAGGGCGGTGGGGCAGGGCAGGCAGGAGGAATATGGGGCCACCCCAGGAGGGTGAGGCTGGGCCCCTTCCTGGGGCAGGGAATGAGGTAAGAAAACATTTCAAATAAAGCAGCACCGTTCCCTCTCACCTTGGGGCCCCACTCCTCGCCAGCCCTGGTTCAGGGAGGGGGGAGTCATTTTGATCTGCAGCTCCCTCTTCCTACCCTCCCCATTCCTTGAAGCTGTGGAGGCTGGAGGCCCTTTCCTGGCACCCAACAACAAAAGGACAGCTCCTGCTGCCAAGGAGGTCCCTGGGACTGAGGGGAAAGGGCTGCCCCTCTAAGGGGCAGGGAAGGCGGCGGCAGTTCTGGACGCCTACCTCAGCAGACAGCACTCTGTGCCTGCCAACCCCTGGGACTGGGGGCATGAGAGGACTGCACACAGACAGGACATGCACAGCCCCGCCCCTCAGCTCCAAGCACCGGACCCATTCACATTGCTGAGGGCAGCCAGGGGAGGCCCCCTCCAGGCTCAGCTTCCAACCCACAGCCTCCAGGGTAGCCACAATGCCCCTCGGCAGGGCTTAGTCCAGTTCCTGGGGTGGGAGGCAGGCAGTGCCCTGGCACAGTGCCCAGGTCAGGCCCCTGGCCTAGCTGGACATCCAGTAACTCACAGAATAAATAGGAAAACTGCCTCCCCACCAAACTTATGTCCAAGGCATAATGTCCAGGTCTGAGTCCTGCATGCCGAGGGGTCGTGCTCCGTTGCAGAGGACCCTGCGCCCCCCAGGGGCGCATAACTGGATCCTCTGCCTGCCTGGCTCACCAAGCTTCCCAAGCCCAAACCCCCAGTAGCCGTCCATATGCCAGGCTATGCCACCTGGGTGGGGGTTGGGAGAGGGCTCTGCTCAGCCAAAGGCTATCCCTTGCACCCAAGTCAGTTGATGTCATCATAGATGCTGGGCGTTGGAGGAGCCGGTGGCTTTGGCTTCTTTTTCTTGTTGGAGCCCAAGTTGGAGGCAGTCCCTACCAGGCTCAGATGGGATTTCTTTTTCTTGGTTTTCCGTGACTCGGAGCTGTTGGTACCTACAAAGGAAAGAGGCACAAGAGATGGGGTAGGGCGTGGCAAGAGAGTAGGGTAGAGCCCCCCATGCCTTTGGACGGAAAGCCCCTGGGATTCAACTGCAACACATACCTAGACCCCATCCCTGATTCTCACTCGTCTTGGAAGAGCCTGAATCAGAGGGTGAGAGATCAGAGGAGCCGTCCCACTGAAGTCGGCTGATCAGGGCTTGGCTATCAGTCATGTCAAAGCTGTCGTTATCCAGAGAGCTTTCGACCTCTGGAAGGACTCTGGAAATGAGAGGGGCAAAGAAGAGCTTTAGGGATTCCATACCATCAGCATTCTAAAACATCAAAATCCACCACATATGGGGTTCTTACGCTGAGGGCCCAAGGAAATAAATCCGCACGGTTCGCCTCTGTTCATCTGTGTGCTGAGGGCAGCGCAGGGACCTGGTGGGGGGACACAATTGTTACACCTGGGGTAAGGTAGGGAAGGACCTGAGCAATTAAGGTAGAGGTCTTCCCCTTCAAAGACTGAAAGGAAGGGCAGAGCCTCATTGCTCAAATCCAGAGGTACTCCCAACCCGTGTGCAGGAAGGTCCCCAGTGCCCTTTCTTGATTCTGTGCTCACCTTGTGCACATCTTCTTGGTGTGTTCAGAAATCACCCCACATTGCTGTAAGAGGAATATAAGCTGAAAAGACTGTCAGAGGGGAACCTACTCTAGACACTAGTCTTCCTTCTATACCAAGGCTAGACTGTACAAGCAGAAATATTCCCCCACCACCCACCCACTGGGAAGGGCACAACAGACAGGCCAGGAAACCGATTTCCAGAGACTAGAACTCTATGGGGCCACCCCCACCTAGCCTTCTCTAGAGCCTGTGACTCCAGACCACTCCAAGGGACCCCTGCCCTAGCTCCTCACCGTGGTGAGCAGGCTACGCAGCTCCTCTGGCCCCAGGGTCTCATAGCTGATCCCAGATGAGTTGCTATACTGTGAGAGAACCAGAAGTACAGGTCAGAAAGGAAAAAACAGGCAGACAAAAAAGGGGGTGTGAAGGTGGAAGTGGAAAATTAGTCCCTCATCCCTGCTTCCATGAGAGTCGTTTTCCAAGTGAGTCCTTTCAACCCACCTGCATACCAGTGAGAATGCAGGATCCAGAAACAATACAAATACACGAGACCCAGAGAGCCCAAGTACTGTTTCTAGCTGTCAGCATTCTGACTTTAGGAGTCCAAATCCCAGCCACCTCCCAGTGAGAATGGACATTAAGAGGGGCAGCCTCTAACTCACCTTAAAAGGATCCGAATTGCTAAGCTCCCCTGAAGAAGAAAAAAGAAGGGGAAGGGTGTTTGATGCAGAGGTACAGACAGAGAACCCTGAAAATAACCAGAGAGGAAGTGGGGGTGACAGAAGGATCACAGGCCCTCCCTTACATCCCATCCCAGCTCCCGCTGTCCTCCCCACACCCCTACCCCCACCCTCCCAAGAGCCCCTGAAGACAAGCTAGCAGCACCCTTGTTGCTCCAGACTCACTTACCATTTTTATGTTTTAAAGACTTGGATCTTCGAGGGGAATTGGGGTTCTGGAATGGGAGATACCATAGCTTTGGGGAAAGGGCAACGATAAGGGGAAGCCGAGAACCCAGGGAAGGAAAAAAGATTTGACAAAGAAATATCCTCAAATTCCTCCTTTTCCTCCCCAGTAAGAGGCCTGTCTGCCTACATTTCCTCCCCAACATCCCCCCAAGGCCTCTGAAACTCCCCTTCCCACCACACGCTCTCATCCCCACACCCACAGAACCCCTACTCCATGACCTCAGACTTGAGTCAAGACACCCGAGGACTCCCTGCCCAAAGGGGAGGGTAATCTGTCCTTCACCCAAACTTCCCGAATGCTCATCCCAGCTCTCACCTTGTCTGATTTTCTCTTCTTGGCTATGGGAGACAAAAGGATAAAGAACAGGGTTACTTTTAAGGCTTCAATCTAAGGACACTCAAAGAAAAGCACAAAACTACATTTTTCCTCCCATTAGTGCCAGCCAAAAGTATTTTTTTTTTTGGTTGGTTGGTTATGAGGCTTCAACTCAGGACCGAGGCACTATCGCCAAGCTTTTTACTCAGGGCTAGTCCTTTACTACTATGAGCCACAGCTCCACTTTCAGTTTTCTAGTGGTTAACTGGAGATAAAAGTGCCTCCCACTTTCCTGCCCAGGCGGCTTTGACCCTTGATCCTCAGATCTCAGCCTCCTGAGTAGGTAGGATTAGACAAGAGCCTCCAAGCACCCAGCTATTGGGAACAATGTGACCAATGCATACCCAGTTCCTGCCTGCCCACCTCAACCCAGTGTCTTTCCCAAAGTTCCCCAGATCCCAAAACACCTTTCTTCTCTGAGCCATAGGACCAGTCGTTGTCATTGATGTCATCATTGTCCTCTTGGTCACTCTCAGACTTGTTCATATTGTTGCTATTGGCAATCCTGCCAATGGATGGAAAGAGAAAGAATCAACACTACCAGCTCTGTCTGCCCCCAACTTCAGAGGCATAGTGGAATATCTGGGGCCCAGTACAACTCCCCCCTCTGTACCCTACAAGTGCCCCCAGTGGACTATTCCATGGTACAGACTGCAAAATGTGTAGGTTTGGTACTGCCAGGAAAGAGTCCCTCACCGGCGGTTGGCGATTCGGCTGCTGTTCCGACCCATTCCCAGGCACTTCTCCAGATGGGGAGCGAAGCGGGAGGCAGCGATGCTGCGGCTACAATTGGGGCAGACACACTCCTTGCTCTTCCACTGGTTGAACACCTGTCCAAAGATGTCTAATCCGGGCTGGTCCACGATCTCTGGGGACAGGAGAGGCTGGTGATCAGGGCAGGCAAGGAACCCTCACCTCTTCTTCCCACATCTGGTCTCACAGCCTTGTCAACCCCCTGCCTAAGCTCACAGGAGCTCCAGACTCTGCATCTAGGATGGTTTCCAGAGAAGATCTCTATGTAAGTGCTCCCCAGGCAGGGCCAACACCGCTTTCCTTCCACCTGAAGCTCACCAAAATCCTTCATGCTTTCAGGGTCCGTATCATCCAGGAAGAAGTAGCCACACTTGACAGCCCGGTGAACCTCAAAGCAGAATCCCAAACAAGAATCCTCCACCAGGTCTGCGTATATCTCCTGAGCGATGGCCTGGGCCCCAGAGGAGAACATCCACGGTCACGAGAGTTACAGCCCTCTGGACTGACAGCAACTCTCACCAACAGACCTCCTGGCCAAACATCATGCTTTCTTTGCCATTTTCCCCATCTTGTCTTGGAATTCTTTCTTCCTGGATCCTTGGACCTTCAGTGGCTATTCCGTTTAAGGAACAAGGCTGACTACCCAAATTCCTCTTTGGCTCAGTTGCCAGATATAGCGACGTAGAGACGTCAAGAGAAAGAACTAGAGGCACACGTGGGGGAGCCCTCACCTCTAGTTTGCTGTTATCCAGGCCAGACAAAGACATTTCCTCCATTTTCATTTGTAAACTCTTGTGGAGACGGCGCTCTGACTGCTCATAGCACAGCGGGCGGCAACACGGCTGCACATATGGGGGCGGGGGTGTTGGTGTGAGTCCAAGGTACCTCTGAAGACTGCCACCTCCCCTCCCCACCTCGCTGCCCAGAGCCTAATCTTGGCATCAAGCTATCTCCCTCCCCAAGGCCCAGGCTCACTAAGTCTGCATAGTCCTAAGGGGCCTGAAACCCAGAGGTGGCCTAGTCCTTTCCAGGCCTGTGCTCAGGACCTGGACTCTATTGCCAATCAGAGTCTGGGTCTCTAGGAGGCAGCAGCTCACCCCAGGTCCCCAAAACTCAAACCCCTCTCTGATACCCATGGTGCAATGCAGCAGGGGGAGGAGAAGGAACTCCAAGGCCTCAAAGCAAACCCACAGGGTGTGGCAAAGAACTGCACAGACTCCTGAAGACACCCCCCCCTTCCCTAAAGGCTCTCCTCAGTCACCTCTGCTTTCCGCCAGGATGTCCACTTGGGGGGGTACTGCTACCAGAAGTAGGAATGGTCCTAGGACCCTACCACCTTCACCCCACTCGCTCTTCCCTTGAAATCAGCCTCCCACTCCAGAGAGGAAGAGAGCCCACAGAAGCCTACAGCCCAAGGGGGCATTTCCAATCACCCCTCGCAGCGGCGGGGGTGAGCCCCATGGGAAGCACGTGAGGAGTGGGCGCTCCCCATACCTGTTCTCTTCCATAACCCTCTCCCTCCCTCAGGGCCGGCCCGGAAGTCTCTCCAAGAGCCCCAAAGTCCCCCAAACCCCCACCACGGAATGCAGAAAGAGCGCCCACAGTCCGGGGCTTCCTCTGAACGGTGGGTACGAGTTTAGGGAGCTGCCGGCCTACAGTGGGGTGGGGACTGACAAACGAGCCAGGGGCACTGGGCAGCGAAGGAGGCCGGGCCGCCGCTCTTCCCCCGTCCCTGCGGCACTGCTGCTGCATCATACCGACTGGGGGGAGGAGAGCCGAGCCGCTCGAGGCCGGCGCCGGGCCGGGACAGCCCGACCCTCAGAGAGTGGAAAGAGTGGGACGTGTCCCGGCCCCTCTCGGTCCTCGCCGGCCGACACTCCCGGCCGGCCGGGGAGAGGAGTCCGGGAGGGTGTCTCTATTGTCCCGGGGGCTGGGGCCTGGCTCCCTAACAAAGGCCCCGCGCCCCCTCCCCGGCCGGCCCTGCCCCGCCCAAGGGGGACCCAGCCAGGGGGAAGAGCAGGGGGCCCGGACCGGGCCGGGCAGCCGGGGGAAGCCGGGCGTTTCCGCGTCGGCCCGGGG